CATGCGCGCGTGCGTGTTTTAGGGCGGGAGGATGAGGACGCGTGCCAACTGCTGCTTGACTCTCTCCGAAAGGACGGCTTGACCGTGATGGTGCGATGTCCGGGCTTGGCTGTGCTGTTTGCGTGATGCATGCTGACATCATGTCAAGTTCTTGTCGCGATCATCAACTTTACTACACACACACACACACACACACACACACACACACACACACACACACACACACACACACACACACACACACACACACGTACACACACACGTACACAAACACACACATCATCATCATCAACATCAATGGCCACTGCACCATACGTCACAACACAACACCATACGTGCAGCTCAACACAGACGTCACGGAAGTGAAGCTCGTCAGCGATAGGGATGAAACGCATTTAACAAAAGCGCCCTTTCACGAGTACCGCGTGACGTGCAAAGGAAAGGATGGCCAGGTGCACACCATCACATGCAATGCCGTTCTAAATGCGACTGGCCGCATTCCAAACGTTCAAGACCTCAGTCTCGAAAAGGCAAATGTGGAGGTGCGTTGAAATGTTTGAACGCACTGTCTGCATTTGGCTCTCTTCTTCCAATGCTCGTGAGGGTTCATCCGCTCGACGTACACGTGCACACATGTTTGCAAGCTGACTTGGTTGCTCATGTCGCCTGCAACAATCACACAACCGAGTTGTTCTTCAACCTACTCATCACCCTCACTCTTTCTCCCCCCCCCCGCGCCAACCAACACATCAATGCCAGTACGACACACTGCGCGGCGTCCGCGTGAACGAGTTCTATCAGTCTTCAAATCCGAACGTGTACGCGTGCGGCGACGTTGCCAGTGGCTTCAAATTCACGCACAGCGCCGACTGGGGCGCGCGCATCGCCGTCAGGTACTAGCGCAATGCGTCTGCGTATACGTGTGTGTGCGTGTGTGTGTGTGTGTGTGTTGTGGCTGTTTGTATGTACGTTGTGGCTGTGTGTGGCTGTGTGTGTGTTTGTGTATGTTGTGGCTGTTTGTGTGTGCGCTTTGTGTGTAGTCCACATTCGCTGGTCCATTCCATTTCACTCATGAATGCATGCTTCCTTGTGCTCTTTAAATCCACAATTCCTTTTCACAGGAACATGTTTCTGGGGATGTTTCACAAGGAGTCACAGCTCGTGATTCCGTGGTGCACGTACACGGATCCAGAGGTACTGTGTTCACACGTGCATCTGTCCGTCTTCCTCGATGCCCCTGTTGATGTGTGGATGACGCAAGCACAACTGTGTGACATATCCCATGTCAATCTATCTCTGCCTTCACGACCGCACACCACACCACGCACTTGACACCACCACGACCACAACAACCACATTCATGAACGACAGGTTGCACACGTTGGCAAGTATGCGCGTGACCTTGAGCGTGATGGCGTTGCGTATGAGGTGCTGCGTCGGGACCTCTCCCACGTCGACCGCTGCAAATGTGATGGCGATACGGTTGGTGGCGCGCGTCATGCAATGCAACATATGAACACCCTTTTGGTGTTGGAAGTGATATGGTGTTTGTTGTGAGAAAGCCAGCACTGTTGGCAGCGAGCGTCTTGATCAAAGTGGCAGCATGAGTGGCAGTAAACGTGTAATGCACTGCGCTGTCCACGAACCCTTTCCTCCTCAAGGACCAATTCCCCTGTGTCGTTTACCTCCACCTCTCTCCAACATGGCTGACTGGCTGGTGTGCAGGTTGGGTTTGTGAAGCTGCTGGTACGGGCCGGGGGTGATGAGATCCTGGGCGCGACCGTTGTTGGTGCTACAGCCGGTGACATGCTCTCCGAAATCACCATGGCAATGCAGGTAGGGTGTGTGTGTGTGTCTGTGTGTGTGTGTGTCTGTGTGTGTGTGCGTGTATGTCTGTCTGTTTGTGTGTGTGTCTGTCTGATTGTGTGTGTGTCTGTCTGTTTGTGTGTGTGTCTGTCTGTTTGTGTGTGTGTGTGTGTCTATCTGTCTGTTTGTCTGTTTGTGTGTGTGTGTGTGTGTCTATCTGTCTGTTTGTCTGTTTGTGTGTGTGTGTGTGTGTGTCTATCTGTCTGTTTGTGTGTTTGTGTGTGTGTGTGTGTCTGTGTGTGCAGGTCACACCTCGTGCTGTGAGCGTTTTCATGCGCACTCCGCCCTCACGTCCACCACACATGCTGTTCACACGCCGGTAGTACAACATTGGTGCGACGAAGATCGCTGGCGTGATGCATCCATACCCAACAAGACAGGAGGCAGTGCGACAGGTCTGTCATAGCTCTGCGTGTAAACATGCGTGTGCATGTGTGTGTGCATGTGTGTGTGTGCGTGTGTGTATGGTGTGTATGGTGTGTGTGTGTGCGTGTGTGTGTGTGTGTTCAATTCCAGTGCAACCTTCATATTTTCGTCTTGCGCAATCTCACATGCGTTGTCCTGTTC